CCTGCTGCTTGAGCTTGCCATGTTGCTTATATTCAAAGTATAAAGGGGAGCCTTCAGGAAAATATAACCTTATTTACACTGTACAAAGCCAATTGGATTTTGGTTAACTTAATTTCTAAGTGATTACAGTTCACTAACAATGTAGGTGTGCTATAGATGCAATGCACAGGGGGTGACTTTTAATTTTAAACCATACAAGCTTCCTTTTATTCATGTCATTCAGGCAGCCTCATGATAATTCACATTTCCAGCTTTCATAATGTGTTGTTCAACCACTGTTTTTTCTCCCTCCTATTGTACTCTCACAAATCATACTCACTAATTTCTGAAAGCTTTTCATTTCTCTCTATAGGTTGTTGTTTCGTAACATTTTATACAAGAAAAGCTGCTCTTGAGGCACAGAATGCACTGCACAATATTAAAACTTTACCTGGGGTGAGTACATTTACTTTTTGATCCTAATTATTTTATTGCCAGAAAAATAGCCCTTTTGCTTAAGATGCTGTTTGGTGCCCCAAATGACCTTGATCTCTTCAAGGAAGGGTGGCTAACCTGATGGTCTCTCCTGTAACGGTGCCAGTCCTGTAGCAATGGCATCATCTCAAAAGGCAGTTGCTCTTCTGTAGAAAGTCCCTTGGCTGGAAACACTGCTGATGCCTGCTGACTAGAGGCAGTTACTAAAGTGCAAGGTAGATTCAATTTTATTTTTTTATTTAAGGGGGAGGAGGAAAAACATATGGCAGGAAAACACTGCACCACTGGGGCTTCTAGTTTGAAAATGGAGAGAAGAGGAAAAGACAAAATACAGCCGACTTTGTTAAAATGCAGCCTTTATCCACATGGTTTCTAAACAACCTGACTGCGTTGGTGTGGTGGCTGCACATCAGGGTACCATACAGCATGGTACCATGTAGCGGCTTGCACAGTGTCCCCCTGTCCCCTGCCCCCGCCTCTCCTTAACAGCCTGTTCTCACTGAGATATCACACCGGTGATCAAAACAGTTGTGATTGTGTCGTACAAGCTGTAGCTTGCGTTATCCTATGGTAGTTCAGCTAGAGAGAAGTGTATCACTGGTAATTGCGTGACTTAACTCTGAAATCTGCTTGTTCTGATGTTTTCCTTTCTTCTGCTGAACATAGCCAAATACTTTGGGGATGGGAAAAGGAAAATATAAAGGATGGAAGTATATTCCCTCTTGATGTAGGGGAAGTGTTCAAGCATACGGTTGGAGTGTATGGTTACAGACACAAAAATAAATAAATATACAACACTGTATAAATAAGTAGAACATTGACTGGACTGACAGTTATATGGCCAATATCTCCTTTAGTTCCTACGTGCTGTATGTGGAATTGAACACTATATGTTTGAAAAATTCACACCTAGCCAGCTCACTTTATGCAACTCCTGTTAGGAAAGCCACCTCATCTGTCATGGAAATGACCAATGTAGAGAAGTATGTCAGATAGTTACCTGTGAGTCCTGCTAATTCACCGAGACAAAATGGGAGTACTCTGTCATTTGTAAGTGAAAACGCTGGAAGGGGTGGTAGGAAATCTGCAGAGGTAGACCAGCTACAGAAAAATAAAAGAAAATTGTGGCACTTCAGATTCAAGTGATGTTTTCCAGGAACTGGCCCTTGCAAGGGACAATGTCAAGACCTTACAAGCCTCCCAGTGGCAGGCTCAGCTTTTGAGGGTGTAGAGGATGGATGAGAGAAAGGGACAATTCCCTTTGAGACCCCTTCAGAGCTCAGGTTGAATCTCAGCATCCTGTGGCTCTGCAACCCCAGTTGCTGGTTCCCATCCCCACTGGCAGAAAGTGCCAAGCCCTTGGCCGAATGCTTTCTAACCCAATTTAGCTAATGTTGCACTTAACCCAACTCATTCTGTAATTGCTCTCCAACATGCTTTGAGTCAAGCGGCTGCGCTGACTGGCTGGGTAGGATGAACACTCCAGTGAAGGTGGTCCCAAGCTGCTGGAGCAGCCCCCGCCCCAGCCAGCATCCCTGGCCCCAGGGAGGGTGTGGGACCCTACCGTGAAGCTCTCCCCTGAGATCTATGCATCCCTCCCCTCAGAAGCAGAGTGAGTCCTTTCCTTTGCTCCGCTGTTCTTCCCTGAGCCCCATGAGCTGGCTGCTGTGTTTTGAGAGAGCTGAGTTATCCAAGCGGGTGACTCTCAGGGGCAGACTCCTTCCCTGACCTCCCCATGTACAGGTGGCAAAGTTGGCTCAGCTCTGCATCGCATCTTACTTGAGCAGGGCATCATTTCTTCTCCGCTTTTGTACAGCTAACAAGCATGCAGCAGTTAAAGAGACTACTGTACCTTTTGATTTTTTTTTTAAATAAAGCTCAAAAATATAATATTTTTTTCTAATGCTACCTCTAGCTCTTTTAACACTTATCTTTTCAAGCTGTGTTTCCCTGTCCTGACTATGAGGTTACAAACTTTTCTTTTAAGGAAAAGTGAAAATTGCATTCCCATTACTCTGGGGCTTGGGCTTTAGAAAACTCCTGCTACTGCCAGAGATGGCAAGATTTTACTTTGAGATAAGTTGTTATACTTTCTTCTTAAAGGGACACCTCTAATAAAGAGAAGCAACTCAAATACAGATTCATTCCTTCTCTTTGAGAATAATTCAGCATATATTATATAACATTCTATATTTTGCATGTGCTGTATGCTGACATTCAGCATATATGGTGATACTGTTATGCTGCATCTGTGTATTCCCAAAATAACTTAATTTAAGCACGCTTTAAAGTTGTGGCACATGTGCTGAAAACACTTCACATTAGCAGGATTCTCCTTATAGGAATTTTAGAAATTTTCATGTTGTTAGCTCTGGCCCACTAAGCAGCTTCCACTGAACAAGCAGGAATTGGTATCGGATAGGTTCATGTACGAACAGTCTCAGGGCAAATGGAAGCAATCTTCTGGCAGAGTGACAACAAGGGATGAATTTGGATCAGGTTCATTTGGGCATCAAGTGTCAGCTTGCTTCCAGTAAACGAGATATGGTATGTAGGAGGTTCAGTAATAAGGTGTCTCCCGGAAACAAAAGAATCCATGCCTTCCACTTTTACTGTAATACCACCATGTGTCAGATAAGAGGCATCCTTAAATAGCCCAGGAAGAGAATCCGAGGGAAAGGCAGGTGATTTATTAGTGTAAGGTAAGGATGATGGCAGATGCAGGAGCAGGGGGCTGCAGGGATGCTGCGGTGGTTGGAACTTGCCTACATTTTACCTGCACGCAGGTATAACCCGTACTACTGCGGAAGCATGGAGGGGAATGCCTCTATGTTCATTAAATGATAGAGGCCAGATTATTTCTGGGCTTAGTATCTTCATTTCTTAAATGCAGACCCGCTCCACGTGGCTGGATAAGCAGGTTTTGGATCAGCACTGGTGAAGCCAAAAAAGTGAGATTTTAGTGTTAAATTTATTTCCCTTCCAAGACTGCACGGTCAGTTTAATTTAGGTAGGTATTTGAGCAAAGCCTGCACTGTTCTCTTTCTGTATCTACTTTTTGCATGGACCTCATCCTTAACAGAGACATGAAACCACGAGCGCTTTATCTGCTCCTTTGAGCTGTACCCTTTTAGTGGACATGAAGAAAAGAAGACCAGACATAAATGATTAATGCAGAATCTTGGAAGAAAATATTGCAGGGTGCCTTGCTGTTTGATTACAAGCCTTGGAATTAGTCAACATTTCCATAATTCTAAACCAATATACACCTGTTTTCCCACTGTGATGTGAAGGCACAACTTAATTTAACAGAAACCCCGCTGTGCTAAATCTCTCATTAAATACCAAGCTAGTTCTGTAATTTAAAGTTGCAGCACCACTATTTTAACTGAATTGCCTTTGTATTATAAAATTAATAAGAAGTTAATGATGCACTTTGCTGTATTCTCTCAGATTTTTTTTCACAGCAACAACAACAAAAAAGAAAGATAAAGGAGAAAAACATGTCACCAGCTGACATCTCAAGGCTTTTCTGGTTTTAATCATTTTCCTGAGGATAAAATTCATTTAAAAGATTTTTTTTAAATTTTTTAAAACTTTCAGCATAAGTAGGATCAAACATCATCTTTTTACTCATGATTAGTATAATCTCTCTGTTAGCCATAATATTCCTTGACATATAATGGAGCTTTTATCTTTCCCCCAAAATGTAGATATCACTTGTTATGGCAGGATTGCTACTAGGCAGAAAAGAAGATATACTTAGGAAATACGGCATATTGATATATACGGTACATATCAGTGAAATAGGGACAGTTCTGTTTACTTGGTGCTGGCGTTACAAGTGGCTTTTATATCTTGTAAATGAACAACATGAATTTCCAGATGTGTCTTTTCAAATATAACATGCAAGCGCATAGCTCATATCCTAGCTCATAGGGATGTGGTTTGTATTACTCAACTTACAGTCAGGTTTTCTTGGAACATTGGTTTGGATTTTCTTTCAAAAGGCAGAAGGGAGAAAAGAGAAAACCTCAATTTCAATGTAATAATGATCTTAGAAATGTGCTTCTTTGGGATGAGATGTAGAACTGAGGCCTTAACTAGTCTTATCTTCATTAAGAATCTCATGGCTTTGTTAGAGGTGTTTAACTTCTATTCCCTAAACAAAATAATCCAATAAATTCCTCCCATCTAAATTTATTCTGTACCTTCAGTTAGATGTAATAATCTTAGTCCTCCCGTGCTCTAATTTGCTGCTTAGTGAAAATTGGCATCTCTATAGAGGGCAAACCTCGAAGAGCTGTATGCAGGGACTACTTTAGCTGCCTTTGTGGTACTGACATTTTTTGTTTGTTTTAGTTTTAACATGCAGTAGTTTAAAAACAGAATGTGCTCTGCTTTGCTAACTCGTGAGTTGGGTAGGTTTTCCTGGCAAGAGCTAAGTGCAGATAGGTAACGCATATGTTAGTCACATTCTTGGAGCCCAATAGCTGAATAAATGCACCTTTAATCTCAGGCAGAAGCTATTTGTAGTCAGGAATCCATGGGAATCTGTAAAATCTACACCTAAAACTCTTTGGAGTTTTTGTTATGTATTTGAAGTTAGATCCATCTGACATGGCAATGATTATTTGTTGCCTATATGTATATTGTTCCATATATCCTCATAGATAAGGTTATCACAGAAATAATCATAACAGCCCGCACTGATTTAGGTCTCAGCCCTCCTATGCTTTTAACAGACTAATGGTTTATGTGGTTCTTATTTCAAGTGGGATATACATATTCCAAGTAGCAGCAAACTCTTTGTACTGAAGTTCTGGCATGAAATTAAGACATTAGCTGTATGAATCAATTTAATTAAGGGTTTAACAGTGGAGAAATAGTTTTTGAGAAAGCTCTTAAAATTTTAACAACAAGGTGGAGTTTGTAGGATCTAACTGTCTTGTAAAATATTA